TCCTTTCGTAATTCAGAAATTTGCCTATTTTATCAGCCAGGCTTTATTTTGGGGTGTTACCTTCCGTTCTTATCCACAATTTCACCGGAGAAATGTCTTGGGATTTCAGTCGGAAGTGCACCTCTTTGTCCTTCGCCTCACTGGAAGTGGAAGGTTTGAGTGTGCCGTTGACTGTAGCCACATTGGTGTTTACTTTGGTCGATCAGTGGTCAATCACTTTGATGCACTTGACGTCTGGGACGACATTCGCTTTTTTGCTTTACAAATTTAACTGTTAGAGGCTCGCTATTCCCCCCACGCCTCTGTCTGCATGCTCTTTAAACAAGGGACGTGATGAGGTGGAAGTGCCTTCCGTTTGGTATAGCTCTGTGTGTTTTTGGTCGATCGAGGCTGTGAGGGCTCCCTCTCTGGCGGCCACCAGCGTCGCCGTGGTTACGGGGCTTGTATAACCCGACCTCTTCTCGCTCACGACTGCTAGCTTCTTATGCAAACGAAGGAAACACTTCCATGCAAGAAGGTTTTGTAGACTACTGACTACTTCATGAAGCAGACATTCAATTTATCACCCCCAGCATGCAGAGCTCCCGAGGCTGGTGGAGAGTGTAAGCTGTAGCTTTTTCTCTGACACATTTTGTTGCACTTTTTGCTACACTTGTTAGCAAAGAAGGAATGACAACTTCTCTAGCAGAGCAAGTAATTAACTCTAATGTTGTGTCACTCTCCACATCCCACATAACCACTGTTGGCTGTCACAAGGCAGCACTTGTGCCGGTAAGCCATACCTTTGGCGTCAAAGTTCCGTTCCCAACATGCAAGTTGAGTGAAAAAAGAAAATCTAATATTGTTGGTCTTTAAAGGATAGGTCATTGAAGTTGGTGCCTAGGTCCATTGCCTCGCCTCTTGTGGATGCTGGGTCATGCTTCGTTTGCTTGTTCACTTCTTGACTTTAGCAACGAGTCGCTTTGAGCCCCGCTGTTATTGCATTTACTTGGTGGTCTAGTCTCCGGGCGATTCTACCAGCCTCAAAGCTGCTCTGCCATTCAGCAATTTATGCTTCCTCCAAGTACTATTTCGCCTTTCGCCTTTGAGGAAGCCCTAATCTCATAATCAGTTCTTGGTTC